TTTAGAGTTCTGCAACTGTCCCAATTAATTTGTTGTGCACAATGTCTCATGTGCATGGCTAATGCAGATCATTTTATTTCCTATTGTACTGTTTTTGTGTTGTTGCATGCGTGTTTTTATTTGCATTTTGTTTCACCTATATACATTCAAAAAAAAAATATATGTATATATATATATATATATATATATATATATATATATATATATATATATATATATATATATATATATATATATATATATATATATATATATTAGGGTGATGCAAAATTTGTAGGTTCAAAACTTTAGTTGTCCTCAAGCTTGCCCTTGTTCTATATGACAATAGTAGTTATTGGCCAAAATTTGAATCAAATCGGATGATATTTAGGGGTTGCCATGTTTTGTCACATTTTGGTATAAGGTTACAAAAAGTAAAAAAAATATTTTTTATTTTTACATTTTTTATATTATATTACTGAATTATTTATTATCAATTTCTTATTATTATGTGGTGGATTGTGGATGTTCAATGTTAAAAAAATCAATACTATAGTACTACTATGTAATTGCACTAGGCAATAATAAATCAATCATCTTTATCATTCAACAGTCATCTTCATCAGGGTAGACTTTGATGCAACTGGAAATTCCTTCCGGTGAAGATCAACCAATCTAAGAAGAAACTGCTTTTGGTTTTCATCTTTCGTAACGCTTGAGTTAAAGGATGTTATAAGTGCTATGCCTCGTTCCGCGCAATCGTTGACGACTTTCATTTGACCAACCTTGTGCTTCATTTCAAGATATGTTGAATCCATTTCCCACTCTGAAGATTCTTTCATTAAAAATGATTCAGCTTTTTCTTTTCCATTTTTCAAAATTAGATCGAAAAGTTCTGCGGTGCGTTGTGTGACGAAGGAAGGCAATGGGCTGTGACAATCGAATGTGGCAGCATCAAGTCTTTTGAGAGATTTCTGCCTTGGCTGTTGTTTCAGGTTTTTTGCCATGTCTCTCATGGTGTTGTTGTCGACACTGGAATCGAAGAAAGCCAATCCTATTAGATGTTCAGAAAAATACCAGAGGTGGCGATGAAAAGCTTTTGCTGCATTAATTGCAATTGTACGATTTGGATATTCTTGAATCCGTTGAAGAAGCTTGGCATCATTGAATGGTGCTCGTTCAGCTAACGGAGCTTCATTCCAAAACTGTCCGTATACAAATGCCACAAAAAGACTTTTATCTGTTATTCCTTTCTTTTCCTTTGCAGTAATAACAAATTGATCCTGAAACAAATATATCTTTATACAATATATAGCTTTTGCCATCCAACGTGCATTGTGTGTTGCACCTGGAGCCCGAAACTTCACTTTGAACTCCGATGTTGTAGTTGATCCTCCAAGAAAAATAAGGCACAAATTCAAGAGTTCTAAGTAATCATCCCTGGGTTGTTGACCTTTAATTGCTTCACTATAATATACTACCATTTCTTCACGGAGTTTGAGAAAAAAATCGCAGTTGTAAAATTCTTTATTCCCTATAGTGAACACCTCCTTGTTGATTGCTGGCCATTGTTTCTGGAAACGGTTAAAAATTCCAACTTCAGGTCCTCCACTGGTTCCAAATGCAGTCGTGAAAATGGTGGAAAGCATGACTTCAAACATATGGTGCCTGCATGCTATCCATATAAGATTACGGTCAAGATTCTGCTCCATTATTGTGCAGGCACCAATGTTTAACCCAGTGTTAGATGAAGTAGTGTCAAAAACCAGTCCCCGAACAAGTTCTTTCAATTTCCAGTCTTTAAGAGCCTTCATGCAAGCATCAGCCTGTTGCTCACCTGTACCTCGATCAATCTTTGGAACGCCCAGCAATTTTTCCACCCCACCACCAGTCACAAGGATGGCAATTCTATCCACTTTTTTTTGACCACCAGTGATATCAGGTAAGAGCTTTCCATCCCAATGCAGAAGAAGTGGATCATCAGGAGAGAAATCAACCTTGTCAGCTGTAGTCACCGCTTCACGAACAGATCGCCTTTTTCTGCGGATTGTGTTGTACGACAATGATAAATCTTTTACCGAGTGACCAAGAGCCTGAGACACTGTTCCAACCACGAAGAGTGCACGGCGATCAGAAATATTAACACGATCAAGAGATGATACAACATTATTTGTTAGAACTTTCATCTTCTTTTTCGTTGAACCACTTGTGCTCAGTGTGCTGGAAGCGGAAGGAGTCTAATATTCATCATCATCCGAGGAACTAGAGCTACTTTCACTCACAATGTCAACTGCTGATGAAGAAGAAATGAGTTCTGTTTTTTCCATCAGTTCCGCTTGACTTCTTTGACGTCTCAATTCCATTTTAGTTTCTTGGACTCGTTTCCGTGCCTCCCTAGCTGTTAAATTCCGATCAATTCCTGCCATACTACAACTTAATGGATCTTCTTGCTGCTGACGTAAAAATGCTTTATCTTCATCGTTTTTCATAACTTCTGATGCATTCTTGGTTGAAATATCAAAAAGTTCTTCAAGGTCAGCGTGGAAAATTCCTTCTTTCATTTGACAGCTGTCCAATTTTGATCCTCGGTGTTTTTTCAGCAGCAGATATTCGTCATAAAGTTTTTTTAACTTTCTTTCCGCATTGTCAATTCTTTGAGTTGGAATTTTTCCTCTCTCCCATATAACAAGAACTGCTTCAATTGTTGCCCGAATACTTTTTTTCACTTCTTGTTTCTCTTCTATATGATGGAAGAGCAACCTCCGAAGAACATCCCCTCTTGAAGGAAGTCTGGCAGTCGACAGAGTTTGTGTAGGTTTACCAACAAGCCACACCTCAGCAGAAGATCTAGTGGTTGCCATATTATCAATTTCTAAATTATAAATAAATAAACAATGAAAAAACAAATTTGCGAAATTTGAGAAAATCACAAAATTTTACCAATGGTTAATCCATCTTATAAAACATGGCAACCCCTAAAATTGCTTCTTTTAGTCTAATTTTTGGTACACATGATCCTAGGTGATAAAGGAACACAGGCAACCTTGAGGAGAATGTTTTTTGTGACATTTTTTTTTTCTATTACAATCTGAATCACCCTAATATATATATATATATATAAATTTTAACTTAATTATCAAAAATATCATAAAAAAATATAAAAAATGCATTTTTTTCATTTTTTGTTAAAAAATGTAATTTTTAATGTAATAAAACTAAAAATAACAATTTTTTTTCGAAATGAATATTATTTTTGAAATTTTTATATAATTTTGCTTCATCTGAGTACCAGGTTGACATATTTTTGAAAAACTTTTTTTTGAAAATATTAGGAACCCATTAAATATTTGAGGGTCTTGAGGAACCCGTTAAAATATTTTTTATTAAAAAAAATTTTAAACCTAGTGTTTTTGTATTAGAACACATTTAGGGTGGTGGGAGCAGATTATTTTCAAAAATTTTGTTTTTTGGGACACTCTAATATATATACTCCTAGTCAGAGTTTACGGGTACATGTTTTTTTTTGTTCCTGTTATGTTTTTGTTTTTTTACTTTTTTTATCATATTAATTTTCTTTAATTTTTTTTTTTTTATTTCTATTTATTTGTATAAATAAATAAACTATGTATATTTATTTACACATATTTAAGTTTAATATTTTATTATAAAAATATATTTTTTATATTTATTTTTATGTTATTTTTTTATTTATTTATTATATATTATATTTCATTTTTATTTTCATCTACTTACAAAAACAATTAATTACAGTATCTAACCATATTTAAACCCAAACCCTAAGCCTTACCTTGATTCCGACCCTAACCAAACCTTCAGTCGATGTAGCAGCACTCCTTTGTGAGTCAGGCTATTTGATAGTCGATGTATGTACTTTTTGCTCTCTATAAAAGTTGCTTACGGGGACTTTTTTTTTTTGTAAAATCTGTTCTTGTAAGTGATACTATAGTTGTAAATACATACATATATATATATATATATATATATATATATATATATATATATATATATATATATATATATATATATATATATATATATATATACACATATATACATCATGTTATGTAAAGGTCATCAGTTGTCTTGTCATGAAAAGGTCAAAAAACTATAGTGTCTACTAAACAGTCTGCTCCCATTGCAGCTTAAATACAAATCAAATAATAATCAATAATTAGACAAATAACAATCTAGAGACATATATCAAATTGCTATAACATATATATAACAATAGAGCTAGCTATCCTCTAACCCATAATGCTAGCTATCCTCTAACCCGTATTAAAATTTCTTTAACCATAGAAAAGAAAGTTGACCATAGTTTGAATCCTATGAAGCAAATGGACATTTTGCCTTTTATAGATAAATACAGTTTTATAGACAAATACAATTAAACACAAATTTATACAAATAAATAAATATATAGCTCTTTTGAGCCGATATAGTATTTACTAATTTGTTTGTTTTTCACTAGAGCTAGTTGAGCAATTGAATCTATTTGATATTTAATGGAACCGCATATATATAACTGTAGCATTAAATATGTATAACTGAAGTGTTGATTTTAAATTTATTTTTATCAGTTATTGCATTTAATGCATTATCTGATAAAAATAAATTTTGAAAATATGTCACAAATGAAGGATATTAAAATATAATATATAATAAATTGAGGCAATATTCTAAGATTGAAATAGTATTGTAGCAAACAAATTGTCAATAAAAATTTCTGTTATCCAAACAATTTTGTAAATAATTGTTTTAAAAAAAATATTGATAAGTATAAATGAATAATAATATAATGAAAGATTGCAAAGAACTTAAAATATGTTTTAAGAGCTGTCTATTAACGCTCTGTTTAGTGACAATCCTTGAGTAATACAAATGTTTGATTAATAAATTTTTTGAATGCATTTATTATTAAATAATTTGTTAGCATGTAAAAATAAAATATACTCATATTTTTGTTCAGCTATAGTTTAGTTATAAGATTTTGTTTTTAGATGGTTTAAACTATTCATCAAAAGATAAATTCTTTCAGTGTGATATAAAATATGACTTTACAAAGAAATTTAATACATTAATTAATGAAAAAGAAGATATTGGAGACTGCTCTCGGATCAACTGTAATCAGTTTCGATCCTGTTTTCGAAAACCTTGTGAACAATGTCAAAGTATGCAGGTATATGTTCGAGGTAATAAAGAAATAAATCGTATTTGCTTCTGTAAATCTCAAGATTTTATATTGTCTTTGCAACACATACCACATGGTGAAAAAAGAAAATTTTCAAGTAGACATTATAATCGATTAAAACAGGTGTCTATATCATACGATAGTTCATCTGATGATGAAGTCAAAGATTTATGTGCAAAATATAAATGTATTAGTTCTAGTCCACCAATAAATGGGTTTTTTAAAAAGTCAACAGCTCAAAATAATTCAGGGCTGTTTTGTATTGAACGAATGCCCTCAAGACCTTCACTAAACTTGGAAAAAATGCAACAAGTAATTCTTTTTTCTTGTGATTATGTGTTTAGAATTACATAAAAGTATTATTGAAAATAATTTTTGTATATTTTTCTCATGAGATTTAATACCTTATTAACTAGTTAGGTCAGGCATGTCTTATCAATTAATTAACATTTTGTTTAAATAATTTTGTTTTACTTATGATTTAAAAGTATATAAACATAAATATGTAGACACAGCATTTGGTTGCTTGGTTACCAAGTAATTTTCTTTTACTATGCTCAAAATTTTGTTTTACTATGCTCAAAATGCATGCAACGTTTTGAAATATATAAAATATTTTATGAGATATTTTATATATTTCATATGATATATGTGCATATGAGAGCATATTGTTTGAGAAAATATTTGATGGTTTTTGTTCATTAAATTGTTTCAAAATAATGGCTGAATTTTAAGTAGATTTTTTAACCTCTCTATATTTTTATAACATCAGTGTCTATATTACGCAACATTTTTTTCTTTTTTTTTTATAATAGTTCTTTTGAACCCAGTTCCCATGCTTTCCTTTATAATGTCATTCAACATAAGTTACTTTATTCTTTTAAAGTTGAAAAAACATATAAACCTGGATGACCTTTAACTGTGTTAATTCCAAATTGTTTCAAACACTGTGAACCACAGAGCATTATTGGTTTGATCTAATACCACCTAGGATTTTTATTTTACTTGCTAAGACAAAATTGTCAATTTAAATTGTCAAACCACACATGCACATATTATCTTTCAAATAAATGTTATTTTTCAAATAACATGTGCAAATGAATAAGTAAAATTAAGTTGTGTTTCTAATTTTACATAGAAAAACTCATTTATTTGCCAGACAATCATTTCAACTAAAACTTAAAATAGCTTAAAAAGTTACTTAAAATAGCTTAAAAAGTTACTTTCAGTATACTAAACTACAAAATGCTCTGTGAAAAGACCTTAAGGACTTCTGTGAGCATCTTAATAACCACACAAAAAAAATCTCTTCTCCACTAATATTGTCTGTTACTTTTACCCTTCTCTAATAATACTGATAAAATAAAAATACCAAATGTGTTGTCTGGAAACAGTTTCTTGCATAATTCAGTTGTAAAATGCAGTGGGTCGGGTTGAAAAAAGTTATAATCTAAGCCAGATCTAAGTCTCTATCAGAAGTCACTACCCGATTACAAAATATTATCAAGCTCTACATATATGATGGTTATGATAAGAATACTATGACTTTGAATCAGGGCTGTGGAGTTGGAGTTGCGACATTTTTAGCGGAGTCGGTGTCGCTAAACAAAATTGCGACTTTGACTCCAATAGTAAAATTTCTCAGTATTAAATGTGCATGTACAAAACATTAAATTAACCTTGTTTTCATACTAAACCTCAAAGAACGTTTCATAAATTTGTCAAAAAAGATTCATAAATTTGTCAAAAAATAAATTTTTAATTTACCGCGTAATTTTTTTTAAAGAATTCAAAGAAATTTTCAAAAATTTTGCTTTGGAGTAGGAGTCAGAGTTATGCTCAAAAAATTTCAACAACTGGAGTCAGAGTCGGAGTTGTACACAAAAAATTTCAACAACTGGAGTCAGAGTTGTTATTTTTTTTTATGACTCCACACCCCTGCTATGAACAATGATAAGAGTACTATGACCTAATGTCATGTGTGGTAATTGTAAACAAAATTTATACCTTTTCAAGAGTGGCCATGCTTTTAGGTGGCCATACGTGATCATGAGAACTTTAAGTTGCTAAGGTTACTAATACTTTATAATATAATACTTTATATATTATAATAATACTTTATGTTTAAATGTATACTTTTTCAATTTTATGTAAAAAAAAGGTTCAAATTTATGTGGATGTACTATATGGTAGCAGTAAATAAAACAAATGATGATATGTAGTATATATTTAGATATTCATAACAATATAGATATAACATAACTTAAAAAATTATTACAAACAGATCTCTTTGCATAATTTTTTGTTAAGTTGAAGTTAAAAATTTGTTAATTTGTAGTCTGAAATGCATTAGATTGAATAAGCCAATAAAATCTTCGTGTCCATGTTTGGGTATCACAATTCCAACATATTTACTTAACTAAAAGTATCTAAAAATGTATGCAGTTTTTGTTTTCTTGTTACTGCAGGAGGCATTTCTTATTAGTGTACACTTGCTGCTGCTATAAACAACTTGATTGGTGCAACTTGATTGGCGCAACTTGATTGGTGCAACTTGATTGGTGCCTGTTTACAATTAGGAGAATATAAAGAACAAAAAGCCAGTCCTACAATTACAAAAAAGATGGAGAGCAAAGATATAGAAAAAGGGGCAGTTTTCAAATAATAAACACGGGAAACATCTCTAACATCTCTATTAGAGTTGGAGCTCCCAATTGAAAGAGTAACAGAAGAAGTAAACAACTTTCTTTTCAAACAGTCATGGAACTGTCTCCATCAAATTTTCTGCCAATGCAACAAATAAATGAGAGCTCCACAGAGTCTCTTCCTTTTAATCCAGTTTTAATTGTTCTACAATTAAAACAGGATTAAAATGAAGAGACTCTGTGGAGCTCAAAAACTGAAAAATCTTAAAGAACAGTTAGATGCATTTTTTAGGTAGAACAAGTTGAATTTGTTTCTAACCAGAATTCTTAAGGAGGCTGTCTAAAATTTGTTGCCAATGTTTTTTAAATTTAAGAATAGCAGAATTCAAAAAGTTATAATTATTGCAGTTGTTGAAGATATTCTTGAAAAATAAAAAAACTATAGATTAATTCTGGGGAAACTTAATCTTGAAGGTGTAAACTATTATATTGCTTTTGATCTTGAATGTAAAATGTCTTTTATTTCATGCTAGTAAAAAAACTTGTGAGGTAGTGGCAGTATCAACATCAATATTATATATTGATATTGATCTATACCAAACGTACTATTAGAGTTAGAACTATTGGTATTTGATTCCTGTTATGAAGCATTTATTAAAAATCCATCAGATTTTTCTAAAGAATTTAATAATATTGTGAACAAAAAGCAAAACAAATGAACAAATATATTGACACTGATAAAAATAATTATTAATATTTAAATAAATTTAGTTGTTCCACCTGAACTACATCTTCTCATTGGAACAGTAGATAAAATAGCAGAACCTCTTTTAACTGAGTGAGATTGTTTTGAGTTGTGATTAAAAAAACACTATATAATTAAAAGCAGATATCATTGAGTTGGATGGGATGGTAATGCAAATGAAATTTTAAAATTGATTGACTTGAAGCGCAACTCAAAGTACCTTATCTACTTCCTGTAGTCTTAGGCTTATCTACTTCCTGTAGTCTAAGGCTTATCTACTTCCTGTAGTCTAAAGCTTAAGAACTTATAAATCTTTAAAAGAAGCTTATTTTGGAAGAAATTTTGATCCTAACTCGAAACTTAAAATGTCATTGTTTAGAGATGTTTTTCTATGCCTACAAGAAACAGCTTCTTCACTCAGAAAGATATTATTGGTGTCATGATAAATTCACCCCGTAAGTTGCCGTTTTTTTTTTGTTTTTTGTTTTTGTAAAGCATGCAGAATGTGGCTTGTCAAAGTATTCAGAATAGTGAGGTGAAGTGATTCATGCAAAGTTCAAGCTTACAAGGTAACAATATAAATGCAGTATAGATCATAAAGATTATGAAGATAGAGAACTGTTGTTGTTGATTTTAGAATTAAAAGATTGTAATACTTAATGTTATATAGAAATTATTCTTATTTTTATTTTATTTTATTATTATTGTGAAAAAATGTTGTATTAGAAAAAGTTGTGGGATTGGAGCAAGGATATAAATAAAACCCAAAAATTTAGACACTCCATTCCCACCTTTATTAGAGGGATTTTCAAAAACATCTTTTGTACTGATGTAAACTAAATCAAAATTAATAAATACATTTCAAATTTTATCTGTGGCATTCAGGAGTTGTTGCTATGTAAAATTAACAATCCCCTCATTTTTTTTATTTTCAGACTTTTGTTTTATTTTTCACTCTTAGTGAAACTAATTTTAAATATGATTAAATCAAGTTAGTATAATGAATACAATTCTTTCCGTTAAAATAGGTCCTAGGAAACACTCCATCAAACCTTACGCTGACATAAATGTTATATTTTATGTTAAGCACTGACATAAATGTTATATTGTATGGTAAATGCTGACATAAATAGTAAATACCAACAATAGTGGTAACTATGGTGACTACTGACATTAGTGCTAAACAAAAAAAAGTGCTAAACAAAAAGTAGCCAAATAAAAAATGTTTTTTTGCTACCTTTAAGATAAAGAGTCATCTATAAGAATCTCTATAAATAAAATTATCTATGAGAACCTCTATAAGTAAATTATCTATAAGAACCTCTAAAAGTAAATTATCTGTAAAAACCTCTATACGTAAATTATCTATTAGAACCTCTATATGTAAATCATCTTTAAGAATCCTTATAGGTAAATTATCTATAAGTCTATATAAGTAAATCAACGATTAGAAAATCCTTAAAATAAAAGTTCATATATTTTTGATAGAGGAACATGGGTTACAACAAAATTAGTCATGTGGGATTCTATTCAATTGTTTTTTTTTTTACTTTAGAAATTAATGAAAAGATCAAAATCTTGCAATGATAAAAACATGGTGAGTTGATTGTTTTTACTTGGTTAGAGAAAACCTGTGTCTTGTTTTCTAGCGAATGTTCTAAGTTTTGAAGAAACTTCTTAAAGGTGGTACATAGATATTATATATAATGTTTTCTAAAAATCTACAGAAAAAAGAAAAAAAAAATTTCGATGGTAGTTTATTGTAGAAAAGTAGTATAAAAATTTGGTTCCCAAATTTCTATTTGATTTTGCAATAAATTCACTTTCCAATGGGCACAGAACATCCGCTAGACGTTTTAAGGACGTCCTACAGGCATGTGACGTTTACATGACGTCGTATAGGCGTCCCATGGACGTCTGTGTCCGCAGGGTTATTAAGAAAATGTTCCATGGCAACAATCTTAGCAACATAAAAAATCCATAAAACAATTAGGTAAGTTTTACTATGTTCTCCAGTTAATGCCAAAAGCAAACAGGTTTTTATAGTGGTTTTACCTTATTATTTTCTGAAAATTAAATTAATAGAAAACTAAATGCTGCCCAATTTTTTGAATACCATAATGTCTGAATGATTTTGTAAATCTTTTGCATTTTTTTGTCTTTGAATTTTTTTGGATGCAGTTTTATTGAAAACATGACATCTTGTGAAAAAAGTAGTATGAAACAATTCAAACTCATAAAAAATGTTTATTTTGTTATTTTCAAGAGTGAAATTTTTAAGCTCTGCTCGAATCTTTATTTCAGGCCTAATTAAACCCAATAAAAAATAATGTTTTCCCATAAAATCGAAGCAAATTAAAATAAAAAATAAAATAACATTTTCAATTTATTTTCTCTTACATCCAAGAAAACAAATATTTGAGTAAAAATTTAAGATTGTTAAATTTAGATGATTAAATGAGTAATGAAATATTAAAGTGTTAAAAATGATGAAAGTGATATAAATGTAAAAATAATAACCAATATTAAATTTAATTTATTGAAATTAATTTTTGAAAATATACAGAACATTTTCACTATCACCAACAAATTGCATTTTGCCGGTTGAGGCATTTCTATAAGTACAGTTATACCCTGAAATTCAATAATGAATAGTATTTTATTTTGTAATATTAAAAACAAAATCAATTACTAAAATTCACAGAAAGTTTGACTTTTGACTCAAGTCTTGATTTATGCGCGCCATACCTTTTTCAATATATCAAGATGACTGCTGAATTAATAGGTGATGTTGCTGCGCTCTCTTAACTGAATGATAAATTTTAAAATTTCTAATTTATAGTTTATTATAAACCTGAACATCTTTCAGTTAACTGGGGTATCTCTAGATATAGTACACAGGTCTTCCCTATTTATTATTATTATTTGAGTAGTTTTGTAATTAGTATTTTTAATTTTAATTTTAATAGCCTGTTCAAGATGTTTGTTTTGAGAAGGCTGATTTGACTGGGTATCAACCCATCCAAATAATAGCATCAGGTGGCTTTTCAGTAAACAACCTAGTTCCAGTAGAAGAACCGTTGAAAAGTTTCCAAAGTGGTTATGTATTTTGACGTGATTAGAAGATGAAGTTTTTAACTGGTTTGATCGCAATAAGGACTTTTTAACATGTTCAATTTGAAATACATTGATGACGAACAATGAATATAAAATCAGTTTTTATGGTTTATTTAAGATAGCCCGCAATTATGTTTACTTGACGATGTCACAAAAGGTTTTCTGACTTTATTGGCGTGTTTTATTTAATTTTGCTGGGATGAATAAAACTTCAAAAATAAAATTTATTTAAAATTCCGCAAAATATTCCAAATTTTAGCTTTCACATATATATATATATATATAAAAATATACATAGAGAGATTTATTAATATTTACAATAGCAGCAAGAATAATTTTGTAAAATTTATCTTAGATGAGAAAAAAAAAAGAAATTTTAAAAATGCAGATTATATTTATATTCTGCGAGTTAACGTTATTCGTTGTTGTTTTTTTATGTTTTTTAACCTTGATTAAAGCTTTAAGAATTTACAAATTTACAAATTTCAAATATATGTCTAGCGTAAAGATTTACTAAATTAAAGATTATTTGCAAGTTTTAATGCGAAACCTTTAAAAACTATCCATCGATTCATATGGTTTTTTTGTTTCTTCATATGGTTTTTTTGTTTCTTCATACGGTTTTTTCATTAAATTGTTAGTTAAGTTACAACAAATAGCACCGGCATAGTTTCCAAAACTATAGTCTCCAATAACTGATCCGAGGCATACGCATACATTGCCATATTTAATTTTATAACCAGAGCTTGACGAATCACACGAACAGCAAGTAGCAAATTCATCCTGCTTACACTTAACGACCGATTGCGCTTTATTTTCTCGAAAGCTGCATGTTAAGACGCTTGTCTTTCCCGTCAAGCCTTGCAGTCCTGGTGGTCCTTAATAAAATGAAATATTGTTAAAGAAAAAGTATAATAACAATTAAAGTATTGCCGAAAAAAATAGATCTAAACCTTCTTTTCCTTTTGGCCCTTTCTTTCCATGAAGCCCTTGAGTGCCATCATCTCCTTTTTCCCCTTTCGTGCCTGGTAGTCCGTTCTCGCCATCTTTTCCGTTCTCTCCGATAAAACCTTTTTCACCTTTATCTCCCTAAAAAAAACTCTACTTTTTTAATTGGTCATATATTATCTATAAAGTAACCTCAACTAAAGCATGTTTACTGGTTAATGGATAGACCTGATTAAACTTATAAGCAATAATAAATTTAAATAGTTACGGATTCCCCAGGGACACCAGTTGCTCCAATTGCTCCTGGCAGACCCACATCTCCTTTTTCTCCTATAGGACCTTGAAAGCCTTCATCCCCCGGTAGTCCTTGTGATCCTGGAGCACCAGTTGATCCTTTAAGGCCAGGATGACCAGAAACTCCTTTGTTTCCTTTCTCTCCTAGATAATACTTAGAGCATTTATAAAAGTAAACGTTCTCTCCCACTAATTATATATATATATATATATATATATATATATATATATATATATATATATATATATATATATATATATATATATATATATATTCATACATACAAAATACACACATACCTTGGTTTCCTTTCATTCCTGTTCTACCTTTTTTACCGGGTAATCCTGGACTTCCTTGTATTCCATTAGCTCCTGGATAGCCGGTATCACCTAAAATTAAGTACATATACATATAATTATATATATACATATAATTATATATATACATATAATTATATATATACATGTAATTATATATATATATATATATATATATATATATATATATATATATATATATATATATATATATATATATATATATATCATTAAAAAAAATGTTTAAGTAAACTATAATTAAAAACAAGATTTTAAAATAACCTGCGTCTCCATCTGAACCTTTTTCACCCTTGTTTCCTGGATAGCCCATTGGTCCATTTTCTCCTGGTGGTCCTAAATTTCCTGGGATTCCAGCGTCACCTTTAATCCCAGGACTGCATTGCTCTGCTTTTTCACCTTTTGCACCTCTATATCCTCTAATTCCTTGTGCTCCTTCTTTTCCTTTTTTGCCTTGTAAACCAGGCAAGCCTTTTACACCACTTGAGCCTTTTTCACCAGCACTTCCTTTTTCTCCTTGAACCCCATCAGGTCCTGGAAAGCCTCTGTCTCCTTTTTCGCCTGAAATTCCAACGTTTCCTTTCTTTCCTGGTACTCCTATGCAACCTCTTTCTCCCTTTAAACCTTTTGGACCCATTTCTCCTTTTTGACCTTGTTGACCAGGTGCCCCGTTTTCTCCATCTTTTCCATTAGCACCATTATTTCCTTGATTACCTACAGAGCCTGGTTCTCCTCTAATGCCGTCATTGCCGAGTTTACCTGGATTTCCATCTATACCAACATTTCCTTGATCACCATCAGAACCATTTTCACCATTCACACCATCTTTTCCTTGCGGTCCTTCCACTCCAGGTTTGCCAATGTTGCCTTTTTCTCCTTTTACACCATTCATCCCTGGAGATCCTCTAAATCCAGGCGCACCTATTGATCCCTGTTCTCCTTTTTTTCCAATAGCACCTTTTTCACCTTTCGATCCTTTCTTACCCGCTAACCCACATTCTCCTTTAGCACCAGGCTCTCCTTTTATACCTTTTTCTCCTTGTTTTCCTTTTTGACCATCAATACCTTTTTGGCCATCTAACCCTGGAGTACCATCATTACCAGGCTTTCCAGGATTTCCATTTAAACCACGTTTTCCTGGGTTGCCTTGTTTCCCAGAATCTCCTTCAACTCCAGGATTTCCCATTTTTCCTTTTTCTCCAGGCATCCCGCACTCACCTTTTCGACCTTTTTGACCTTCAATGCCAGTGGTTCCTCTATCACCTTTGTCACCGTTAATTCCTTTTAGTCCTGGTTCACCTGTATCGCCTTTAATACCACGTTTACCTGTCGGACCTTTTTCTCCTGGTAATCCTATTGGTCCAGGTGCACCCTGTAATCCTGGTTTACCTGAATATCCTTTTTCACCTGCGTTGGTAAGACATACATCTCCGGGCGGTCCAATATCACCTTGCATTCCTGTAGGACCAGTAAAGCCTAAGTTTCCTTTTTCACCAGTAACTCCTCTTTCTCCCGGTTCGCCTGGTGGTCCGGCTACTCCAAGTAGCCCTATTTTTCCAGGATGACCACGATTGCCAGGCAAACCCATTTTTCCAGGTGGTCCTTGTGGCCCTAAGAAAATGGTACTTTAAATTTTAAAATTGAGTTTACAACAACTTCAAAATCAAATCTCTATTAGTTTAAATAAATACCTGAGCAACGAAATTCATGTGGTGAATAAGGCGTCAAATATGACTCTTAAAAATAAAAAAAATTTAAATAATTAAAACCCTAAATCTTCAAATATATACATAAATATATACATTTATACATTCACAAATATATACATTTATACATTCACAAATGTATACATTTATACATTCACAGTTGTATACACTTATAAATTCACAAATATATACATTTATACATTCACAAATATATACATTATTACATTCTCAAAGATTAAATTATTAAAAATATGTTTAAGTTTTACTTTAAAAAATAGACTTGATATAAAAGAACAACATCATTTCGTATTTTTGTATAGTATTTAATAAACTTATAAGTGTTGTTCTTAGTAGGCACATTTCTTGCTCTCTATTTGAGACGATGGGGTTTTATCTTAAAGAACCATACTTTTTTTTTTCAGCTTCCCACTCCCTCAACCTTCTAGCGCTACCCATAAAATAATGCAAACTACAATGGTTAAAACCTTATAATAAAAGATGAGTTTCTTGTTTTACTATACTAAACTAAATTTATATTAATCTATAGATTTTAAATATTATCTAAATATTGTATGGTGCTACCCCAAGAAGTATAGGCGTTAAAAATTTATGATCATGTTTGTCAACTTGGAGTTGAAGTCAAGTTGAATAAATGTTTCTTTTTTTATATTTTGTAAAAAAATAATTTTTTTTTACACAATATAAAAAAATTTCTTTTTATATAAAAAAAAATCAATTTTATAAAAAAAAAAATCAGTTTTATTAAAAAAAAGAATGTTTTATATAAATAAAAAAAAAGTTCAGAAAATCGAATCACGGCTTTTTTTGTAGTTAAGATAGCAAAACAATAAAATTCTTTTAAAACACAGTGCATTACTCTTTGTAATACTTGATCGAAACATATGTATAGATATAGTGTACTATAGTGTAATATCGATGCAATTTGAACAAAAAAAACTTATATATATAATTCAATAATGAAAACTTGAAACAAACCGATTATTCAAAGTCCGTCAAACAACCCTCTTTCAACATAATCTTTCTTTCGCCCCATTTTCCTACGCTCTCCTAAGTTTTAAGGTGAGTTTCCACTCATCCCTTTTTCTACGGGAAAGGGAAAGGGAACGGAAAAATAATCACGTGAGCATGCGCAGTTTTCTTTCGGACAAATAAAAACTTTTATTACGCATGCTCACGTGATTATTTTTTCCGTTCCCGTTGAAAAACGGATGAGTGGAAAACTCGCCTTTATTTTTATAACTGTTTTGATAAAAATAAGCATATTTAACCAACTTTTACAAACATTATAACTTATATATTTATAATGTAGTTTATGATATATTATTATATTATAAACATATAAACTACGTTTTATAATTGCTGTTTTTACACAACTATTATATATTGTGTTATATATCACAACCTAATGAATAATAAAACTAGTATATAAATAAAACTAGTATAAAAAACTATTATATACTGTGTTATATATCACAACCTAATGAATAATAAAACTAGTATATAAATAAAACTAGTATATAAAACTATTATATACTGTGTTATATATCACAACCTAATGAATAATAAAACAGTAAAAGTTAAATAAATGTTTCTTACCGACGCTAATAATTGATAAAAACAATATCAAAATGTTGCACGCCATGACAATATCTTTGCTATTGACTTTAATAATGATGATATGGTAAAAAGAACTAAGGTGTTGTTTTTTATAGAAAAAGTACATAACCACATAAACAAGCAATCATCTTGCGGAATGCATTTTTATGTCATTAAAATTTTATTTGGTACATAAATTCATCTTTACTCATTAAAATTAATTACTGTGGCTAACATTTAATAGTAGTGTTGCTGTTACTATGACAGCGTTACCATTTTTAAAATGTACCTATTGTAACAAAAGCAGCATAGTTATAACAAAAAAAAAAAATAAGGGGGTGACAATTCTCCTAATTATTTATACTCTTGGTTTAGTTTATAAATAATGATAAATTTAAAAAGAAACAGTAAGGTTTTATTAAAAAAAAAATTTTTTGATGTTCAAAACCAGAACATTTTTGTTGTTAAATCATTTGCGAATTTTAAACAAAATTTGAGGAACTTTTTTTTTTCAAATATTGTAAGGGATGTGCGGCCGTGGCGCCGTGGTTAGAGCGCTTGCTTTAGAAACAGGAGATCCAGGTTCGAAATGAGCTCTGGACATATTTTCGCGTCACGGTAAGGAAGGAGGCGTGAACTTCCTGATTAAATGCACATCCACGGAGTGACAAGACTGATAGGTCTTCTTAGAGCACCTAAATAAAAAAATAAAAATAAAAAAATAAAAATATATTAAACAGATGGTATAAATTTCTACAAGTACCCAATTAAATAATTTGAACAACATGTCATTTTGAAATTTAATAAGGATTTTTTAAAGATGTTGATAAAAACGTTTGATGATATGAATATTTAAACCTAATGTGTTAAATAACGGTTAAATAAAGGTTAAAACAACCTTCTAACTTTAAATTTAGATTTTCCATAGTGTGTTTTTATATAATTAGATTTTATATAATGATATTTTTGGCTAAGATAAAAAAGCACTTTATTTGATAAATAAACCAACATCAATGTTCATCTAGTTAGAGTGCTTAGTAATGACTTTGGTTGTGGCTTTGCAAAGTTACTTTGAAACATAAAATTAACTTAAATGTGCTATTATTGAGGTTATAATTAATTTATTAATGACCCAAAATTGATTTTAATCTAATATATTGTATTTATAACCCATAAGATTTGATAATTGGTCTTTAAAAATTAGTATAAAATCTCACTGTTGCTAAATATTTTTCAGATTAGTTTATATACTTTAACTAGAAAACTGATTGGAGTTACTACAATATATAAAAAAAAAAAAAAAAGAAAACTGATTGGAGTTTTTTTTTGCAGAAATAAAAAGAATGTTTTTGACTTTATTTGTACACGTGTTGGCTTTGTTTTCAACAGGTTTGTTTTTAATTTTTTCCTTGTATGAAACAAGGTATGACATTTATAAAGTAAGGTATAACATGTTGCAATGTATAAAAAAAAGATATTTCAAGATGTTGCAATGTATAAGCAAGGTTTTATATTGATAAATAATAAGTAATATCTAACTTAATCATATGGAATAAGATTTTGGTAAAGCAAGTCGACTGATAATATTTAAAAAGTAACCAATTATCAAAGATAGAAAACGGTTCTAAAAATTGAAATCAAAGTATTTTTATTATAATTATTATAACTATGTAATTGTAAAAAATTGTAGGACTGTTCAAGCAACAAATTAATTTTTCTATTATTTGTTTACATTTATATTATTATTGTTATGTTTTTATTATTTTCAATTTCCTCATTCCTATAAAAAAAATTATATACATATTTTTAACAAATATATATAAAAGGTTATATATATATAAATTATATATACTTATACTATATATACAATTATATATACAATATGTACATAATCATATATACAAAAATTATATATACAAATATATACTTTTAATCGCTCCACTAGAAGAAAGCCTACTATTACAGGACCTCGTTAGTTTTCTAGTTCATTGATGCTTAATAATTCTATTGTAAAACATTTATAAAAATAATAATAATGAAAATAATAATAGCAAATATATACATAAAGTTTTTTGATGTTTTCAAAAATTTTAAATAGTTTTCAGTGTAACACTTTATTTTTGTTAGATGCTTGAAATTAAAAACAGTAAATAGAATCGATTTTCTTTTAAAAACTTTTAAATTATTTTTTGTTGTGATTTCTTTGTTTACTTTATCTGTTTTCGCTAAATTATTTGGTTAATATGCTTATTAAGGTAAATATTAGAATACTTTTAAATTTCTAATAAATTTTTGTGTAATTTGAATTAATAAATATTTTTAGATGCAAATTACTACGGTGGTTATAAAAATGAATACGGTAAGTTTATTGAAACATGACGAAACTTGTTAGAAATAATGGAATAATATAATTATTTTAAAATATTTCAAATAATATAAATATTTAGTATTGTTTTCTATAAACTTTTTAATTTATAAAATTGTTCTAAATAAAACGCTTTCTTTTTTTTTTAATTAGTTGAAGGTGAAATTGGAGAATTGGGTCCAATGGGTTTTAATGGCCATCCAGGTTATCCTGGAAAACCGGGTTTGCAAGGAAATTCGGGGATGAAAGGTAAAAAGGGCGATAAAGGTTCTGACGGAATTCAAGGAAAACCTGGTTTACAAGGACCACCTGGTTTAAAAGGCGAAATAGGAGCTAAAGGAATTTCAAAAACGATTCCACCAGTTCGTGGGTTACCTGGTTCGAATGGTGAAGATGGATTACCAGGAAAACAAGGACCAATGGGTCCCCCAGGAACATATGGACCTAATGGAAACAAAGGGGATAAAGGATATCCTGGATTAAACGGACCAAAGGGGAAAAAAGGAAACACAGGAGCGCCTGGAGAAGATGGTAAAATTGGCAAAAAGGGTCTTGATGGAAAAAAAGGAGAACAAGGTATTGCTGGAATACCAGGAAGACCTGGTATAAAAGGTGCATCAGGCAGCGATGGACAATCGGGTCCAAGAGGATCAAATGGCATTAAAGGTGTTGATGGAAAATCAGGATTACCTGGAACGGATGGAGTTCCTGGTATTTTTGGAGAAAAAGGTGTTTGTGGTGAAAAAGGTGAACCTGGCATAACTGGCAAACAAGGACAAACTGGACCTCCTGGAAAGCATGGAATACCGGTAATAAAATTAACATTAAAATTTTTCTAATCAACCAGAATTAAAAAAATCGTTTTTTTAAATACTATTTTTTTAAATTAATTTTTTTAAGGGAAATGTTGGACCATTTGGACCAATGGGTGTAGATGGACCTCAAGGAGAAAAAGGTCAAGATGGTAATCCTGGTAATCGCGGGCTCAAAGGTCAGTTATGTACTTTATTTTTTTAATTTATTGTAACAATGGAAACATTCTATGATCACAATTTTCATAAAAAAATTTCATTTTGTTTGATATATTTCTAATTTAGTTTTTTCCTTTTCTATGGTCAACTTAAAGTTTATAGTATGTTTAAATGGATGTCATCAAGTTAAAAGTCAATTCATTAAATTAGGATTTAATGACTTAACTTTTTCTTAAATAAATTTGATAGGTCTAATGGGAGACAATGGTATCATTGGTAAACCTGGTGAAGACGGAAAAGCCGGTAATTCTGGAACTAAAGGTAAGCTTCGTTATAATTATTATTTAATAAATTCTACATCTATCATAATTATTCATATAAATATATAAGTTAAGTATTTAAACTAGGAAAAAAAGGTTTTTTGGGTAAACAAGGAAAAAAAGGTGATCAAGGTGCGGATGGAGAAAAAGGAGAACCAGGTATTAAAGGTAATCCTGGTTTACCTGGATCTAACGGGAAAGATGGAAAACCTGGAAATAATGGAAAAGACGGGTACCAAGGAATTTCAGGACCAGCTGGTTTGAAAGGAGATGTAGGAATAAATGGAACTAAAGGCATGCAAGGAAAAAATGGTCCTACAGGAGAAAAAGGAGCTTGTGGAAAACCTGGTCAACAAGGATCAGAGTAAATTTTTTATATGAATAAAATAAAATAATAGTAAAATAGTTAAACAAATCAAAAATCAATGTGATTTATGAATATGTTTATATACATCTATATGATTATGCTAAATTAGATATGAAACTATTAATGTATTAAAATTTTTTTCCAAGGGGATTAAAAGGTGATCAAGGTGTTAAAGGTGAAATGGGAAATGTTGGACAACAAGGTTTACCGGGACCAGAAGGCCCAAAAGGACTAAAAGGAAAACAGGGGCGTCAAGGTAGCAATTATAATCAAACAACAATTTTTGAAATTGACGTATTAAAAGCGAGAGTTAAAATTAAATCTTTGTCTTAGGTTTTCCTGGACCAAAAGGAGAAGTTGGAAATCCGGGAATAAAAGGGGAAACAGGACCACAAGGTGCAACTGGTGATCAAGGCGCACAAGGTGGTATTGGTGATCAAGGACCTAATGGAAAAAAAGGAGCTAAAGGTGAAAAAGGAAAAAGAGGTAACAACGATTGAGCAATCATATAACACTTTTAAATTATATAACGCAATTATATAACTCAAAGATCGAGCAATATAACGCTAAAATAATTAAAGGTATTTTTTTTTTAATTTTGCACAGGGGATACAGGTAGAGATGGTCAAACTGGTACATATGGAAAACAAGGTAATCCTGGAGATAACGGTTTACCAGGTAAATCTGGAAATAAAGGACTGCAAGGGCCAACCGGTTTACAAGGAGATATTGGAGAAAAAGGATCAAAAGGACCTTTTGGACCAAAAGGTTCTTCTGGTAATATAGGGGATCAAGGAGAAAAAGGTGCTCAAGGAGTCCAAGGGATTGAAGGTGAAAAGGGATCTATTGGATTAAAAGGCCATAAAGGAAGAAGAGGAAACAATGGTTCTCCAGGAAAAAACGGTTTTCAAGGAGAAAATGGTGAAAAAGGAATTAAGGGTTACAGTCGATCTCCAGGAGCTCCAGGTTATCCTGGATTACCTGGACCTGAAGGTATGGTCACTATTTTTATATTGCTATTTTGCGAATAATATTTGTTCATATTTCTAACATTCTTAAAAATATTTGTATTAAAAATTAATTAACTTTAAGTAACAAAAAAATATTTAAAATTAATTCCTATTTATAAAAACTAATACTTTAAATACTTAGATCTATTGCTTAACTTTAGGACTAAAGGGTCCAAACGGTCCTCCGGGACTAGATAGATTTTTTTCTTTGCAATGTATACAAATAGTTGAGACTAGCTCTGTAGCTTCATGTCCAATTGATCAAGTTGTATCCGGTTGCTCGTGTAGTTGCGGAAAATGGTCATTAATAAATAATAAAGAATGTCGTTGTAAAGAATGCACAAAGGTAGTTCAATTATTTTGTTTTTTATATATATTATACAGACTTAGGTGTTACAATTACCTTAGTGGACCCAATAGAGTTTATAATTTTGTTCTCATACTTCTTAACTTTAAAAAATCTTTAACCCGTTCCTTACACGACGAATTATCGAAGTTTGTTTCATGTTTTACAAATATTACTGGAAGTGATTTCAAATATTACAGGAGATTTTTTATTTAATTTAGAGTTCCTACTATGACAGCAATACGATTCAAATTACATGCTGTAAAGGAGTAGATTCTAATAAATATAGAAACTACTATAAAGAAGACTTGAGTGATAAAATAACTCTCGATGAACGTGCTAAAGATCAAACAATAATTGACTTCGAATCTAATATAGCAATATAATATTTTTTATTCTTACTTGTAAATCTTTATTAAATAAATGTATATAAATTTTAGCTTGGATTTTTATTGGTTAAAATATTTTTCTCAGTTTTATAAATTTACATGACTTTCTAGCGGCGAACTTTCGTGAACAAAAGGTTCTTCATTTTTGCAATAATGCTCTATTATAAACTGGTTATTATTTGGAAAGTGTTGAATTTTATTGTGCTTAACTAACTTATTGGGATTTTCATATATTTCGTTCGTATATTCATATAAATCGCTTTTTTCACATTTCAGTTCTTCGTAAACAGAAAAATCACAAGAGATGTTTTTGGTTAAAATGTACTTTTCAGCAGGAACAAGGTAGTCGTTCAAAGCATTTATTCTGTTCTTTTCTTCCTTTAAATCTTTAATTTGTATGCCATGCCTCAGAATTGTGCTTCGGTACTTAATTTCTCTTTTTCTTTTAAGAAACTCAATCCATTCTTGATCGTTTTCTCGTCGAGATAGTCTTTCATTATCTATATTGTTAATTGACAGCATACACGGACTGCTTTTCAAATTTTCATATAACAGCGTTCTAACACCGCCATTTGAATTCTCGTTATACCGCATGACAGAATATTTTCTGTAAGATTTTTGCAAACCGTAGCCTGAAAACATTTCAAATAAGTAGATTTTTTTCAAAGTTTAGTCTTAATCGTGATAAAAATGCACGTGGGAATTTTGAGTGCTTTATAATAAGAAATAACTATTCTGTTATTTGCGACTTAATTAATATCGCGAGAGTTTTTTCCGTTGTTGAGCGTGATTTAGAAATGTTTAACTTTAAATTAATTAATAACTGTATTTACCAACAAAAAAATTCATAATCTTTAATTTTTTTTTATTCTATTTAAAAAATACTAAGATATTTTATTTTTGATATTTTGTAATTAAATATTTTGAAAATATTTTTAAAGTTTTCGTAATGTGGTTATGCCATATAGAGACCAAATACCAAGGCCTGCAAAGATTAGTTCACTAAAGAGCGTCATAACCCGTTTCGCAGACCAAGAATAAGTGATTTTAAAAAGAATGAAGGATTATAGAGTGAAGTCGAGTTAGAAAGATGGCATAGAGAAAGCGGACACATATTGCACCAAATGTTACAATGTGCAATTAATTACATTTAGAATTTTACATTAATTACATAACATTTAAAAAATTTTGAACACGCACCACGATCTTATAATAATTAAACAATCAAAATTAACCAATCATAAACTTTTTATAACCAATCATAGAGCTTATGGTTGGTTGTTTTTGAAGTTATAAGTATTTTACAGGAAATTTTTTGAAGTGCTAAACTTATGATTAATGTCAAGTTATTTTTAATATTTTTCGATTTTCGTTTTGAAATAGTTTAACGAATTGGTGGTAGTAGTCACAGTTATTAATTTTATGTTGTTTTAAATATTACTATGGTAGTGTTGCAGTTATTAGCACCTCAGCGCTTCTTTTAATACTAATCTGTGTACACAGGGCCGACGACACGGGTTTTAAAGTGGAGGGGCATAATCGTCAATTTTTGAAAAAATGTAAAAAAAAGTAGTAGGGAAGGGGGGGGGGGTGGAGGCAGTTTTCCCTTGCCTACCTGGTGTCATCGGCCCTGATACATAAATTGACTTGGTGAATGAAACCATCTCAAACCTGGCACAATTTAAGAAAAATAACTTGTTACACCTAAAGCAGTTTATTCAGCATTATTAAACAAAATCTAGCTTTTATTAACATTAAAAGTTAATTGACTTGTTATCTTGAGATATTGGCACTTTGACTCAATTATTTGACTCGATTATTGGCATCAATTTTAATTTAGATCTAGAGAACCTAAGCATTAAAAAAAATTCGTGTTTTAATTTTTCTTTTTTTTTATGCAGCAACTACAAAAATGTAAATTATATTAAATAAATACATATAGTATAAATTGTATTTTACAAACAAAAATCGCAACTTTTATGAAAATTGAAAAGAATTACACAAACAAAGTTGTAGAGAATTAAAAAAATAAAGATTATTTATATAATTATATAAATTTATATAATTTATTCTTGGTACACAAAAGTAAAATTATTTCTTTTAATAAGTTTTTTTTATATTTGTTTGATTTTTATGCTCTTCAGAAACATAGTTGAAGTTTACAGATCACATGAATCATAATGCAGCCACAATTTTATCTCTTTTCCTCTTCTTAACTAGCCTTGCACACATAACAAACCCAATTTTTATCTGAGCGTCAATTTATATGAACTAAAAATAGTGATGATACAGTTAATAATACTATAAGAATTTATACCTGAGCTATCAGATGTCTTTGGTGGTGGTTTACCTCTGCAACCATGTTTCTCCTTATTTCATAAAGCCAGTGTTTAAACTGTTAGTGCTGAATTTTTTCCATATTTTAAACTGCTTAAGTTCAGTTTCTGTCAAGTTATTTTAATCGCTTTCTAATACCAGTTTCTTAGCAACATCATATGTGAAAACAGGCAGTGGAGTTTGTTTATAAGTTGAAAGCAGCTTATTAAAATTAACTTTATTTGGGTTAAATGGGTATAAAACGCGGCTAGAAGCGTGACTAGGCGTTGGCATATGGGCAGGTATCACGGGCACAACAGTCGAAGGGCGTCTAAATCATTTCAGATAGTTTGCATATACCTAACTTGTATAATTTTTTAAGAAATAAAATGCATATGCGTTTTATTCATATTATTTGTTTTCCCAAAAAAAGGGTTTTATTGCTTTTGTTATAAAACCGTTATGAGAACAAGCATAATTCGTGTGCGTATATATTTACAACACATTCAAAAAAAAATGCATAACATGCATCTTGGTGTTAAAAAATGAAAAAACAGTTCGCGTAAAGAAGCAAATCCCCAATCCCCAATGGTCGAAGTTTTAACTACGTACAGTGGAAAATAGTACTACAAAATCGTACCATAAATGTTTTTTGTTCAAATTTCAATTTCAGTACTGGAATTTTATATATATATATATATATATTTTTTAATAGTTTAACAGTCAATCTTTACTATATTGTGTAAATCTTTATATATTTTGTGTAAAAAGATCATTTTTGAAGCCCTACCGTTTCATATTTTTGAAAATTTTCAATTTAAACTTATTTGCTTAATAACTTTAAAAGTTATTTTCTATAAAACTTTTTATGAATAAGTATAGAGTATTATATATTTTTGAAAGCATCATGTTATGGAGATTTTAGAACAAATACATTTTTTTAATTAGATGGTTTTGTTTACAAATAATTAATTGAACTATAAAGTAAGAAAGAAAAAAAAAATCTCAAAGTTCACTGATAATTTTGGCAGTCACCGACGCTTCCCGACGCTTTATTTTTATAATTAATTAGTAGCTTAGGTGTCTATAAAAATGATATATTAAAAATCAGGTGCGGATACGTGCGGTTTTTAAAGTTATAGATAAAAAAGTAATAAAAGTCCGAAAACGAAAAACCGCTTTTTATCGTGGTTTCAGAATATCTGTTTATAACAAATGTTTTTTTGTCCGATTTTTATTGAGAATTAATTTTGATAGACATACATTCAATTATTTGTGCATTTTGTGGTGAAAACTTTATCAGCAATTTGTGAACACTGCATCATTTTAAAAATATTATATAAAGTGTTGAAATATTTATATAACTGCAACAAATTCACTGTGGAAATTAAATACTTTTTAAAATGACAGCTTTTAAATGTTCGAAACGTCAACTGTTACTTTCCTATATTGATGGAGGAAGAACAACTGAGACACTATCAATAATTTTAAAAGAAAATTATCAAGTTTCTCAGGATAGCTTGTGTTTCATTGTTATTGATATTCAAAGGAACATTATTCCGTCGTTTAATAAACGATGGACCAAGGCGTCACGGAAAGTGGACGTTTTTTTATCTAACAACAGTAATTGGTTAGATTTGGAATATAGTATATTTTTAACAAAATCGAAAAACGCAATAACAGGCCCTTACGCCATCTACATCATTTGAAAAACGTGGAAGACCGTGCATGTCTTATGGAGATTTGTCAGAAACTAATACAAAAAGAGAAAGCTGCACATTAGTTAAGGAAATTGGATTCGAGTATATCTTTAATGCATATCTTTAGGCATTACGTTCAATAGGAGAAGAAACAGAAGCAAAGATTGTGGAAGGATTAAGGATTGCCGAAAAAGAAAAAAAGGTTTATGGAAAACACAAACGTTTTACTGACAGATGAAAAAGCACTCAGTGTGTTTGTTGATTTAGATTTAACGAAAGCACAATATTTATACTTGAGGAAGTTGACAGACGAAAAAAACTGTTCCTTATTCCCACCGTATTACAAGTTGCAATAAAATTAAACAAACTTGCTATCCACCATCTTCTGCAATAGAAACTACGAACACTCATGCAAAATTTATGGAACTGCAAGATTTATTGGATCACACTGTAGATAGAATTTTGACTATAGATTCCGGCTCCTTCATCTGTACGTCATACGTACGTATCTGTCGACCAATATGCATAGAATTTTGCAAAGAGACTCCTGAGAAAACTAAAATTGTTGTAGATGAAATAAAAAGCCAAATATACTCTTTACAGCCATCTATAATTAACAAAAGTTATAAGGTGAAACGTGAACTTTTTTTAAATGATAGATGGAAAAGTGGCTCAGGTATTAACGGATACGCCTTCTGCGTCGACATGTACAATATGTGGAGCTACTCCACGACAAATAAATGATTTGACTAAAATATCTGCTAGGCCTGAAAATGAAAGTTCGTATCAATAAGGACTGTCGACATTACATGCCTGGATTCGGTGTATAGAAATGATGTTACATATTTCCTACAACCTGTCTTTCCAAACATGGTCAGCTAAAGGTGAATAAAAAAACGACAAAAAAAACAGAAGACCTTGGTACAGAAACGTTTTCGTGAGCTGCTAGGGTTAATCGTCGACAAACCAAAACAAGTAAGT